GCCTCGTTCGGTTGGGCGCCCAACTGTCTCTATATGAGGCTGCGAATCACGCCCAGGGCCTGCATTCTTTGGAAAGGCCCGGAGGGCCGTGGAAATGGAAATGTCTTTGTTGCTCGGCCTGTGTTTCGCTGAACCAACTGGTGCGTCGCAACTGCCTGGACCCCAAATATGAAATTGACAGTCGAGGGCCTCTTGCAAAAAGCCAGGCCCGCCTTCACGTAGGGCGGGCACCTCCGCCTTCACTTAGGGCGGGTAAGGCTGCAAACAGGGCCCCATAGGCCTACCGAGGACCCTGATCCTCGCACTCAGTAAAATGCCCTGAAAAATTGTAGATGTGTATCTCACATGAAAGGCGTTCCACGATTCAGACCCCAAATTCGGATCTCAGGGACATGCCCTGGTCAAGAACAGGCCAAGTTGAAGAGCATTCCAAGACTTTTGTAGGACTGGCCAGCCTACCATTCGGGCAGATTGCTCATTTGGAAGAAGTGTGGAAGTGCTGGTGCACTTGTACGATGATGTGAGGGGCAGAGCGCTGAAGCCAGAGTGCTGCGCTAAGAGTGAGAGAGAGGAAGAAGACAGTGCTGGCAGGGAGAAGGCATCCATAGCTGCGCCAACGCAGGGTGTTATGGTTAGCGGTTAGTAGTAGACTTCAGAGGGATGAGTAGAGTTGACAGTGGGTGTATTCAGAGTAGATCTTTGAATAGAAGTTAGTGTGTGTGCGCATGCATGTAGGGAGAGAAGATACAGCGAGGTCATAGCTAGAGAGAAGACCAGCAAGGAGGGGTGATACAACAGAGAGAGACGAGCAGAGAGGAAGAAGATACTTACCTGGGTGATTATGTTGGATGTTTGGTTACCTATGACATGTGTTGTTGTGCGTCGGTGACTCGGAACTCTTATTGCTCTTGCTATAACTTGTTGGAATTCATAAGCTGCGATATCTGGTCTTAATCTCTCTGGTCTCCGGTGTGGACATCGTGTGAACTCATACATGCGTATGGTGTGAATATGTGCGCTCATTGGTGTTGAGCTGGGAGGTCCATTGCAAACTGGTATCGGAGCAGTTGCTCGTTACACCCCTTGAACATCTCTGGCAACGATTAAGGCCGGCGAGGAGGGAGATAGGAGATTGAGTTGAGTGGGGAAAAGATTGACGAAGGGGGGAAGAAGAAGGCCGAAGAAGGAGTGGCTCGATTACATACCTGTTGCTGCTGCGTTGGAGCGTTGGAGCAGCCAAGGAGCTTCATCAATGGAACGTCCATTGGAGTGAAGTGCATTCACCCATTAAAACGTGTATTGTATCCTGACTTGTCTTGGTGATTGGTACCTTCCCAACCTTGGTGTCGCTGGGCTAATCTAAATCGTCACATAATCGATTTGCATCGAGTCCAGAACCAGTCCGTGCATACAAAAACCAAATATATATATATATCCTGATGAGTCGGTGAAACGCCAACGAAACAGTTTGTCACAGCCCCTCGTTTGTTGTCCTCTTCTCTCTCTCTGTCTACGGTTTACCGGGCAGTTCTGTTTGTGACGATATATCTATCTATCTATATATTGTGACGATATATATATCATGGATGTTTTGCTGGCTTGTGATGGGGTGTGAACCGACAGTCTGTAGAGTTTTCCATCTGGTGTGGGTGAGTGATAGTCTACTTTGATTTTGGTTAAGGTAGATTATCATTTACAGTGTAATCAGTGAGGGGATTCTGCAGACTGTTGAGGGTTTAGCCTCCTGATGAGTCGGTGAAACTCCGACGAAACAGTTTGTCACAGCCCCTCGTTTGTTGTCCTCTTCTCTCTCTCTGCCTACGGTTTACCGGGCAGTTTTGTTTGTGACGCTATATGCTACGACTTCGCTAGCTTCCTGCTACGGTTTTTTCCGGTCAGGTCGAGCGGCAGTGGTCGGGGCCATTACTAGGCGGCCATGCTGTGCCTCTAGTGCCAGCAGCGTGTCTGGAGTGTATTTTTTGGCTGTGACAGACCTTTCTTTGTTTCATGGATGTTTTGCTGGCTTGTGATGGGGTGTGAACCGACAGTCTGTAGAGTTTTCCTTCTGGTGTGGGTGAGTGATAGTCTACTTTGATTTTGGTTAAGG